ATGAAAGAAAATGTTTTTCTCCCTGAGTCTGGCCTTCATAATTCCATTCCATCACACATGGTGTTTTATAGTTTCCCCATTCCCGCGCTTTACCCCGTTGCCTCGTTACCAATTACCCGCAGTAATCCCCCCTTTGCCCAAATGGCAGATTCAGTCCGGTTCTTTTGTCCTCTTGATTGCTGTCTATTGTTTGTGTGGTTGTTGTCTTTGTTGGGTTTTCCTGTTGCGCATAAAGCCGGGCATTCTGCTTGAGGGAAGCTGGTGGTGATACAATGTATCAGCTTGCAGCCGGAGTTAAGCGCCGCCACCAGTCGGCAATTAGTTCGCGGTTTGGCTAACTTCCCCTTTCCAATGCTAGTGCCTGGGGCGGTGAAATTGACTAGGTGAAACTGAGCAGCGGCATTCGCTGTGCCGTGCTGGCTGAATCTGACACATTTCTGGTCACCACAGAACAAAAAGAATGCTGAGGAACTGGAAAGAGTGCAGAGAAGTGCAACAAAGATGGTCAGGGGCTTGGAGGCTAAATCCTACGGAGACTGGCTAAAGGAACTTCGTATGTTTAGGTTAAAGAAGAGAAGAGGAGATATTATAGCAGTCTTCCAATACATAAAGGGATGTCACAGGGTAGAGGGAGTAGATTTATTTTCCTTAGCACCTGAGTATAATGGGTATAAACTTTACAGTGAGAGATGCAAATTTGAACTAAAGAGGAATTTTCTGACTATGAGGACAGTGTTTATGCAACTTTCAGAGGAGCACCAATTTACTCTGTCTTTGCAGTCTAGTTTATTTTATGCAAGAAGAATTCCATGAAGTGATCATTTCTCCTTTCAATGAATATTGTTCCAAACTTCATAAAAGGATGTAATTGTTGAGAGCGCTGCAAAAAATAATAATCAGACTCCAGAAGCTCTAAATAAGTATAGATCAGTATCCAGCAACCTATCCTGGCTTATCAAGGATAACTATTCTTAGATGAAATATTTTTTATCCATTTCAGATGGTATTTATGGTTTATTCTGGCACTGAAACTGCAGGGAGAAAGCATGACTCTAACAGAGTCTTCTGAATTTCTCAACAGTTTTATTACCATCATCAATGATATCTTTCTGAAGAAGTTTAGGCAAACCGGAGAAGACAGTAGATCAGTTTATAGATCATTTTCCCATGTGAGTGATATTCAGTGTGTTTTGAAAAAGGTTGCATTGTTCTGAATTCATAACAGAATTCAGAATGTTTGCATTTTCAAATTCATGCCCTATTCTTTTTTATGTATCTCTATTGCTTGTTTTTTTTTTAGATTTTTTTATCCCACCTTTATTGTTTTTATAAATAACTCAAGGCGGTGAACATACCTAATACTCCTTCCTGCTCCTATTTTCCCCACAACCACCCTGTGAGGTGAGTTGGGCTGAGAGAGGGTGACAGGCCCAAAGTCACCCAGCCGGCTCTCATGCCTAAGGCGGGACTAAAATTCAGTCTCCTGCTCTCTAGTCTGGTGCCTTAACCACCAGATCAAACTAGCTCTGTTTGGCTTATTTATATACTGCTTGCTCACAAAAGCAGTTAGCAACAGTTAACAACAGTTCCGATAAGTAACAATGAATACCAAAAAAAAAACCAAAAACCCAAAACTTAGGGTTTACATCATGGCAATAAGGGCAGTGAAACAATGTTATTGCTCTGCCCTTATCTTGTCTGCTGATAGCCACCCAGTGGCCCTGTTTAAAGTTACCTAGTTCCTGTTGGGGAGGGACAGCTCACAGTGCTGATCTGAGGAATATTCTTACAATTTGGTACATAAAGCCACTCAGATTTCAGATTTAGGCTCCTGCTAGAAGGTCCAGATGAGATGCCCGAGGTGCAGCCTTGTAGGACTATATATGTGAGTTTGTAACTCCTGAGGAAGTGAATAAGATCCTCCACTCAGTGAGCTTGGCCATCTGTTCGTTAGATCCAGGTGCCTGAGAGGTGACCTATGGTTGGGTCCATGCAATGGTATCTGCTTCTCTTTGGGGGGTGGGGATTGTTCTCTCAGCCTTGAAGGTGTCAGGTTCAGCCGGCACTGCACGCCTAGGAACTTGCCCAGCCGCGCTTTAGTCAATTTCACCGCTCGAGCGCTAGCGCAG